TGTAAAGCAAGAGATGATTTCTTTTATGTGAGTATAGTTTTCCCTAACTAGAAAAGATAGTGTCCCAGCAGTATGAGAGGTTGCGGAGAGGGTATTGTACTGTGAAAACTTTTCATGTTAGAGTAAGTGTGGGTTTTTCATTCAATTCCAAACTAGTTTATGGAATTTAAAAATTCTGTTTTTCAGTACTGGGGGGGGGGATTGAACTGAGGACCTTGTGCTTGTGAGGTAGGTATGATTGTCACTGAACTAAATCCCTAGCCCTGGTTATTGGAATTTTTACAGGAGCTGTTAACAGTCGGAAAGTAGGCGTAAACTATTTATAAACATTTAACAATACACTATTCATTTATAAACACATTTTTACACTGTAATTTGAATATAATTTATTCTGTAGTAAGATATAATTCAGATTTCTAAAGGCATTAAAACCAAAGATATTGGGTATTTTTTTTTGGTACCAGGGATTGAACTCAGGACCTTGTGCTTGCAAGGCTGGCATCAGAACTGAGTAAATCCCTGGCAAGACACTGGTTCTTAAAAAAAAAAAACAAACCTAAAATCAAAGGAACCTGACAGTCCTTGTTCATGTTTTTGGGTGGGTTAGAGGGTCCACCTCACCCACTAGATCTGCGTTAAAGTTGTCTTTTTTTGAGACAGGGTCTTGCTATGCAGTTTAGGCTGAGCTTGAACTCAAGTGCTGGGATTAGAGTTGTGGGCCACCCTTGCCTAGCCATCTGGCTCAAAGTTCTTCTTATTGGTTTTTTGAGACAGGGTCTCACTATGTAGTTGAGACTGACCTGGAACTCACTATGTAACCCAGGCTGGTCTCAAACTCACAGCGATCCTCCTGCCTCAGCCTCCCAAGTGCTGGGATTACAGGATTGCGCCAGGACGCCCAGCTGGCTCAAAGTTCCTAACTTGGTATACAAACTCTAGTTCCCTAGCCTGATTTTCCCCCAACCCTCCTGTGTACCTGCATTCCCAGGTGAACCATTTAATTACTACATGAAGTTATCAAATCTCTGCCTGTACATTAGGTCAACAGGCCCTTCTAATTATCTACCTCTCTGTCCCTTGTCTCCCCTTCCTTGCCTGTGAAGCCCAAGTTAGGAGGAGTATTTATTTAATGTTGTTACTTGAGTGAAGCACCTTGCCAATTTCACCAAGGGCACAGGCAGCTTAAGCAAATCTGCCAGTGTGCTGGAGGGCACTCCAGGAGATACAGGCTGCTAGAGCACAGCCATGGCTACTTTGCAGCAGATCCAGACAAGTCAGTGAGTGTGGAGGGAACCAAATGGATCCAGAGGCATCAAAAGGCCACAGAGGCAGCATGGGGGCCCATGCTATAATCCCAGCACTCAGGAGGCTGAGGCAGGATTGCCACAAATTTGAGGCTAACTTGGACTACATACTAAGCTTATGTTGAGCCTGAACTACACAGGAAGACCCTTTCTCAAAAAACTAAAAAGACAGACAGAGATTAGAACAGAAAAAAGTAAGGCAACAGACTCTTTATTTAATGTGGTTTAAAATACATCAATATCAAGTCTCTGGCTATTGTGAATACCAAAAGGGGGAGGGGAGCTCTCAGCACAACTTTTAAACAAGTCTGGGTGGCCAGGTGGGGCCATAAGGAAAGCAGTTATAGGGACAGAGGCAGCCCTCTCCCCCAGGCAGTGAGAGGAACAGCCAGGTGCCTGGCTGTCCTGCATGACCACCACAGTGCTATGCAAGGTGGGAGGGCTGGAGCAGTAGCTTGGCAGCCTCAGCCTCTCTGCTGCCAGGGCAGCTCCACTGGCATCTTGGTCAACCCTCAGCAGGGCCACCATGATAGGAATGGAGGAGGGATAAATAACCATCTTACAGAAATAACATTCTCACAGAAAGTGCCTGAGCTCAGCCCATGGTCCAAAAGCCTCATGGAAAACAAATAACAAATAAAAAGTGCTGCTGATACCTCTAGGAATCTGGTGTGCATGAAGCTCTCAGACAAGGTCCTGAACAGTTACTGTTAGCAGAGCTAGGGCTTTGGGCTCCAAGCTCACTAACTGTGGTCCCTGGAGGAAAAACTAACAATTTAAGAAACCAACACAGCTCTTGGTCCTAAAACTGAGGTCATGTGCATAGGACTCACCTGGGTGAAGATGACACTGGCCCTCACTCATGGATAGGCCACTTTCCCTGTACCTGGTAGTGGGGGTGGGGTGGCACCCAAGCACCTGGGCTGACTTTGGAAAGTAAAGCAAGCAGAGCAGCTGTAGTGATTGGTGAGATTTGGTCAAATGGAAAGGAAGAGAAAAAGAGCGAGCTCCATCATCAGACTGGCATGGGTGTCTAGAAAAGGATGGAGCCAAGAGCCAGGGCTCTACCTGGTCTGGGGACCACATTCCTGATCTAGGAAGCCCAGCTGGGGCCACTTGAATACTGCAGCCCCCCATCTCACCTGGGTCCCAACAGTTCCAACTCCCCAAGGGCTTTAAGAGGTAGCTGAAGTGAGGCAAGCAATTATGTGGGCCATTGTAGGCCTTTCCACTTTCTCCAAGGGGGCAAGCAGACCTCTCTGCCTCTTTCCTACACCTCCATAGCTAACAAACCCTTTGTGGTGTTGACTGTTTTTGTTCTTCAGCCTGGCACAGGGGTGGGAGAGGCCCTACTGAGGCAGGAAGAGGAAGGGACAATTCCAAATACAGGGATTTCAAAGAGGGGAAGACAAAGACCTTGTGTAACGTTTCTCCACAGGAGAGTAGATCTTAACAATGACAAAGTAGTTTCAACACTCAAAATATTGGGCATCTTGTGTGAATTAAGGATATAGCAGGGGCTAACAGGATATACTCTGAAATCAGTCAGTGGCACCTGCCAGGGGACAAAGTGGCGATTCTTTTGCTATCTCTGGTCTTAAGTCAAAACGTGGTTCTGGCTCCTGCCTTGCAAGCGCAAGGACCATAGTTCAATCCCCAGTACAAATAAAAACAAAACAAAAACAAAAAACAATTATGGTTCAGGAGTACACAGCATTTTTCATGAGCCAATTTATCTGGGGACTAGTTGTAGAAAATGAAGGGATCTGGTTTGGGGGGAGGATCTCCAGGACAATAACTAGTTCCAAGAAATATAAGAGGCAAAACCACACCTGTCCCATCTTGGTCTGTGGCTTCCTTAGCTCACTGGAGATGCACTATACCCGTAGCTCAGCAGAGCAGTCCAAGACTCATTCTATTGCCCCCCAAAACTGCTCTATACAGTGACTAATACCCTGCCAGGTGTGCAACAAGAGCTTTCAGCACAGAGTTGCTACACATAGTACATAGTAATAAAGTTTTGGGTCAGGTAGTCGGGTAGAAGGGACCTTCTGTAGCCTTTTTGTTGTTTTCCTGAGCTCAGCCTATTGCAGAATTTCATTCTGTCAAAGTAACAGCTGGGGAGGCTCTCACACAGGAAGAAGTGGAATTAATTCCAAGAATGATTCTTATTTCTTGGGCAAGAAGGTAAGGAAGTGGGAACCAGGGCAAACCTCAAGGATTGTACAAAAGGGTGGGAGCGGGGGAAGCAGAGAGAACCATAAAGCTAAGGGGTAGCAGGACCTGGGGTCTAGAAACTGCTGCACGGAGACAGTGAGGATGGGAATCCATGGTGGGTGGCCTCCCCGACTGAAACCCACAGGCAAGCTCATGGCGGAGCCATTAGAAGCCCCTTTCTTTCTCCTTCTCCTAAATAATACGATCTTCCCTTTCAAAGAGGAAACCTCAGCACCGACATGGCTAAGGAGCCAGGTGGGGAGGTGACGGGTGGGACACACACTGAGGCCAGGCACCCAGGACCACTGCAGCACCCCTCTTCCTTCCTCAGAAAATCCTCCTATGAACTGTTATGTCCAAAACAAAAATGCCTTCAGAAAGAATCCTTTGGATGATCTCTTGTCAATCATTTGTGCAGGCCAGAGAGGCACCTGTGAATGATAAGGCTACTGAGAAGCAACACTGGCCCGGTCCTGGCACTACCGGAGGGCAAGGGAAGCAGTGGCCTAGGGGCTCCCAACCAGCACATCCTCTCACAATGCAACATTCTCCAGGTCCCTTGTCCTAGGCTCTGAGTGTCATGCAGAGGCTCTGCAGAGACAGCATTCCTAGGCTGAGAAGCAATGACATCTCCATGAGAGCTAGAAAAGCCCGAGCTGCCCAAGCCCTGCTCACAACAGAATGCAATCCAGGACTGGGTATACTAATTGTCATAAGCTCTGAAGGGCTGGGAGGAGTCTGAGCCCCAAACTGGGCAAGAAATCAAATCACTTGCCCTGCCAGCTCACTGTGATGGCAGCTACAGATGACACCTCCTCTATAAGACCCTTCACCTTAGAGGAGAACTGACATCACCTGTATACCTGCCCTCAATGCAAGCCCCCTGTACACTTACAGATATAAATGCATGAGGCCCTGCACATATGCCGTATGTATGTAAAACTGACCCACAAAATCCAAAATTGCGAAGTTGCAGAGGCCTGTTGGGTCAGAACACCCTGACTCCAGCACTGGCTGTTTGGTTTGGGAGCCTTGTATGGGCCAGGCTTGGCTGGGGTACAGCTCCCTTCCCAGCATGCCTCAAGCACCAGGCTCTCTAGGCAGTGGCAGAGGAGGGCTCCTGAGGCCCTGTTGCTTCTGTGCTCGGTGTTCCTGGGCAGCCAGGAGCTTCGGTGGCCCTCGAGGAGCTGGGAGTTTGAGCTCTGGGCACCTCACCACCCTGCTCCTTGGCCACAGTGGCAGCCTCTGGCCTCCGCTCAGGACCACTGTCAGTGAGGGGGCCCTGGCCACCAGCACTCAGGTCCTGTACCCTCTTGTTCAGGTCATTGCGCTCTGTCTGTAGTGCTCGGCACAGCTTCTCTAGCCGCTGGATTTTCACCTGCAGGCCCTCCAGTTCTTTGTCCCGGAGAGTTTTCTAGGGAGAGAAATGGGGACTTCAGGGCCAACCCAGCAACTCTTTAACTCAACACCACCATGTGGTGGGAGACACTCATTTCAACAAGGCTGGGAGCAGCCCAGAGTCCAAACCTGGCCCTTCTTAGTAAAATACCCTGGTTTACCTGGGGGCAGTGTAGTACAGGGATGGGCATGGCCTGGAGGTCACACAGTGTATTCCTCTAGTCATTTACCAGATAATATTGCTAAAGCACATGGCTTTTGAGTCTCTCTCATCTGTAAAATGGGATTACTAACACCAACCACAAGACTCAAGAGGACCACCGGACCAGCATTTTCTAAAACAAGGCAGGGCTTGGAGCTGTTGCTCCACCAGTGTTAGGCTCTATCACAAGCCACAAAATGACAAATTATTGGGTTGCTCAGTATGCGAACTTCATGCACCATCTGCACTCCATTCTTTTCTGCTCCTTCAGCCTTGTCTTCCATTCTCTCCCTTCGGTTCCATGCAGACTACCATGGGGTCTGTCACCTCAAATGTGCAGGCAGCTGGCCTTGCCTTACACGCACAGACGTCCTAGGTGCGTTTCATGCATGCAACATCACTGACAATTACGAGGTAGGGGAAAGGGCCTGATACACAGTAATGGTGCTCTCCTTGCCCCTGGAATCGTCACTCTCTACTCACCTCTTCAGCCATTTCAAGTAAGGCCTTGTTGCTGCTCTCCCACCGGGACCGGTACATGGTGGTTTCTTTCTCCAGTTTCTTGATCTTCTTAGTCATCTAGATTACATGGTAGATGGAAGGAAATGGTCAGAGCTGAGCTGTTCATGCATCTGTTTCTCAAAAGCAGGGAATAATCACATCTGTGCAATTCTGCCACTGGGAAGCCTCAAATTAAATGTCCACCACTCGGGCTGGGGGTGGAGCTCAGCAGCATGGTGTGTGCTTAGCACACACAAGGCCTTGACTTTGACTCCCAACACCAAAAAAAGCCACATGCCAACAAGAAATGACAAGACTACCCCTTATCCAGGGGAAAAGGCAGTGATTTCTCCTAATAGCTCCCTATTGACAGTGATCTTCCCTGTGAGGCATCTCGGGCCTTCTCAAGGTGACCCCATGTTCAATTCTGAATGTGCCCCAGCAGCCATCCCCAGCTTAGATCATCAGTACCTTTTCCATCTCCTGTTTGAATGTGGTGAATACCTCACTGCTTTTGGAAAGTGTGTTCTGGAACTCTTCAAACTTCTCTGTGTATAGGGCGAGCTGTGGTAGACAGAAGCACACAGGTAAGATTGGGCTTCTTTGGAAGGCACTTCTCTGGTCAATACCCTGACCTTTCCTTGGCCTTTTGACATAACATCTCCACAGAGGTACCACTTTCCAGAAAAAAAAAATTTTTTTTTGTTTTCCTGGAAACAGCGTCTTGGCATGCAGTCCAACCTGGTCTCCAATGCCTGGTGATCCTCCTGCCTCAGCCTCCCCAAGTGCTGTCATTACAGGCATGGACCACTACTCCTGGCGTGTATTTGGAAGAACATAACTTAAGAATTTTTATCCCTCGGAATGAGGCCCAGTGAAGGAAACTTAGAAGGCCCAGGTCAGTCCCATATTGTCTTACCTGCTGCTTCAGGTGGGTCTCCTGCTGCTTCATCAGCTCACACATCCTCTGAGATTCCACTGCCTCTTTCAGGAGCTATTTTCAAGACATGAGCCCAGACTGTCAGAAGCCCCCAGGGGGCTGTGTTGATCCACTTTAGCCACAAGCACTGGACCCATTTATACTGCCTGCTCTTTGCTGTCTGGATAAGCAGTGACTGGCCCAGCCAGGCAGTGATTATTTCATCCACACAAAATCAACTCGAAGCTAAGGCAGAACCCAGCCCACATTCTTACACCCCATCCCGAGCCCTGGGGTCTGAGCCTCACAAAGTCCTTCTCCCGCTGGTGCCGCTCCTCTGCCTCCTTCAGCATCTCCTGGGCCTGTTGGAGCTTGGCATCCACCAACTGCTGCTGTAGATCCTTGTGTTTGAAGACTTTGTCAATATGCTACAGGAAAGATGGTGGGAAGGTTCTGTTTGTCAGGCGCTCCCTTTCTCAGGGACGCCTTGTACTGTAGGGAGGTTCTAACTGCAGAGACCATGACACCTCATCCAGCCCATCTCCATCTGATATGGTAGACTTCCACATGTGCCAGAGTCCCTTGTAGGTCAACCTTCTAACCTCAAGTGTTTTTTTCTCCCAGTGAATCAGACCTGGATAAGCACCATGATATATGGATGGAATTAGCTTCCAGGAAGTCAAGCAATAATAAGCACACTCAAATCTCTAGTCCAGAGACTAACCACCTCGTGGAGCAGGCATTCCTAACTTTTATAGTCTAGCCCCCCTCATAGTGAAAAGGGAAAAAAACTTTCTTACAAACAGCCTAGCTTAGTTGGGAAGAGATTTATTATACCAATCTGTAAGTGAAGATTTGACATGTGCATCCCTAGAAATGGCTGTCTTGGCTATTGGAGGAGCACTAGGGACAGAGACCAGGTGAGACAGAGGATGGACAATGTGATGGACTGCAGTGATACTTCAAAGCAAAGTCCCCTGGACTTAATTAAATAAGGAAATACATAAGGGAATCTGATTTCCTTTGGATGGAAAAGGGCAGGTATCTTGAAGACAGGTCTAGTCACTGGTGACCTAAGGTTCAGAGACTCAGAGGCAGCAGGTGGTAGCCTCTGAACCTGTCTGAGGACTTATTATAAACAAGAAACCACAAGGCCTAGTAGTAGATCCACACATCCTTCTCCACAGGTAGCACCATGTCCTTTCTGATTTCAGTGAAAGGGAAGGGAAAAGAAACAGAAAGAGAAAAGGAAGGGAAGAGAAAGGGGGCCTTCAGATTCTTAGAATTAGTGTTTTGGTCTAGTAGCCCAGAAAGTCTTCACGTCTCTTTGGGCAGAGAAAAAAACCAGACCAATTCTTTTCAAAACAAATATATCACCTGAAACTTTGTTGCCAAAGGATGAACAAGAAGGGTGGTCAGGGAGTCCCCATTAGGCCTTGTACACATATGATCACCATACTGGTCTGAGCTCAAAAGGGAGGGTCTTGCCTGTCTTACCTTGGTCCTAGGAAAACACCTGCTTACAGTGAGTTGTCTGTCAGCCCTGTAATGTACCTGCAGGGATCCCTTCTCATGAGGAAACAGAGGTCCAGAATATCCAGGCGAGCAGCTTGGGGACTTAAAGGTTCAAGTATCTGGGTTAGTAGCCAACACTAGCCAAGGCAGTGACACCCTGTTCTTCCAAGTGTAGAAGCAGCCAGTGTATCAGTGGACAGCCCTGAAGTCTATCAGTGAACACAGGTTTAGCTCTCCCCTGTTATTTATTTGTTTGTTTGTTAGTTTGTTTATTTCTGGTAACCGGGGATCGAACTCAGAACCACCATGAGCTTGACCACTGAGCTAAATCTCTGGCCCTTCCTCTGTAATTTTAAATTCTTTTTCAAAATGGCACTGGCAACTGAACCATGCTAGAGAAGTGCTATATCACTGTGCTACATCCCCAGCCCTTTAAACACACATTCATTCATTCTTTCTTTCTTTCTTTGGTACCGGGGATCAAACTTATTTATCTATTTTTAAAGACAGGGTCTTGCTAAGTTGCCCAGGCTGGCTTTGAATTTCAATCCTCCTGTCACAACTTCCTGAGTGCCTGGGACTATAGGTGTGCCTTACCATGGCTGGCTTGTAATTGCAAGTTCTACAAAGGTCATAGGCTAGCAATCAAACCTCACCGGCACCACTGTGAAGCTATCTATAATACAGGTTAAGTATCCAGCTTAATACTATGTCTCATTTGGAGGTGCTGTCCCAAGGCCTTGCTGGGGATGCCATGTAATACACAGTATGCATACATATCACCATTTGAAAATTTGGACAATTCTAATTCCAACAGATAGCTGGCCCAGTTCTTTGGGAGAAGGCACTGCTGACTGGGTGGCTCTAGGTGATTTTCTTTTCCACACCATACTTCCTCATCTATGAGGAATAGTTATTAATCTCTGATCAAGGAAGAGGAGTTCAGGATAAAGCCATAAGAGTGCTCTGCAGGCGCCCATCACACACCCAGAGCCTCACAATCCGCTGGTCATGACCCTAGTATGCAACAACCTTACCTCCTCACGCAACTCATATTGCTCAATCAGCTTCTTGAGCCTCTCAGCCAACTCCATGTTCTCTTGCCGCAGCTTGGAATTGCGTTCATTATGCTGTTCCATCTGCAGCTGAATGTCATTCAGTGTCACCTGGAAGTGTGAGGTCACCTCCTTGCGCTTCTCCTCCTCCTCCCGGGCCCGCTGTACGCCTTCTTCCTGGGCAGAGAAACCAGCCCCAGCACCATTATCTGCTGCTCCCCAGCCAGCTGCATGAGGCTCCCCCAACTAACAGTCCACAGGTGATCTCTGCCAACAGCCCGCCCTGCTTCCAAAAAGATAAGTGGCCCAGCTATAGGATGTTATGCAACAGGGCTTCCTAATGCATTCCTCTATAAATCAGGTGATATCCTGTGAGATTCTCTCCCTAGTAAAATGCAGGCACATATGTTAAGTGCCATTCTGAGGCGTCTTGATTTTGTGAAGTCTATTCCCAGATTTCAGATTAAGTATTTCTGCTCTGACGTACTTTTGTATTCCCTTTCTCCCCACACACCAGGGATGTGCAAAATTAGGCAATTAAACTTTGTTGACAGGCGTATCCCCTGAAAGGCAATCTGAAAAAAATCTAGTAATACTTAAAAATTTGCATACTCTTTGACCTGTCCTTTGACTTCTGTGATTTATCCTTCAGATAAACTGGCCTGAGAGATACATACCAATAATTTTTTTTTTCTGGTACTGAGAATCACACCGAGTTAAATCCTCAGTGCTTTTATAATCATCATTACAGACAGTTTAGTGATCTCAAGCTAGGTGGATTTTCTTGGGTCCTGGGGATTGAACTCAGTTCCTTGTGCTTGCGAGGCAGGCAGCAGCATCACTGAGCTAAATCCCCAGCCCCTATACCAATAATTTTTATTGTAGATCTATATGTAATAGTGAAAACTTGTAAACAACCCTAAAATATAGTATCTTAATTAGGACACTGAGAAAAATATAACATATTCACCCAATAGTGCTGTTAGACAGCCTTACATAAAATGAAAAGATAAAGTAGAACAGAGAAAAAGGGATAGGATATAAACAGTACCTGTATAATTTTGTTTAAAAACCTGTAAGACTAATTTATACTACTTATGTTTTCAAAGATAAACATGAACTAAAAATAAGCACAACAAAATATGTATGTTCACAGATCTAAATATTTTATACAAAATAAGTTTTTAAGTATATTTGCATGAAAAACCATCTGGAAATCATGGCTTTAACAACAGACTGACCTCAGCCTGGGAGAAGCACAAAAGGTGAAGAATCCAGACTCCTGACTAACCTCTGCGACAAGGACTAGATATCTCCTTACTGGGTACTACAGTTTGGATATTTATTTCTTTAGCACTACTGGAGATTGAATACAGGGCCTTGACACTGAGATACATCCCAGGTGCTTTTTATTCTTTTTTTTTTTTTGTACCGGGGATTGGACTCAGGACCTCCTGCTTGCCAGGCAGGTGCTGGGCCACTAAGTTACATCCCTGGCCCTTTTTATTCTTTTATTTTATTCTCACTAAGTTGTTAAATTGCCCAGGCTGGGCTTAAACTTGTGATCCTCCTGCCTCAGCCTCCCAGAGTGCTGTGACTACAGGTGCTCACCCTACTCCTGGCTTATACTTTGTATCTTAAATGTACCACAAAGTTCATGTAATAAAGATTTGGCACCTAGAAGAACGGTAGAATTGGGAGGTGATGGAATACTTAGAGAGGAATTTAGTGAGATGCTTTTATACGTTATTAAAGGTGTGTCCTTGAAGGGGACCATGGCACGTTATTCTCTCCCTGTCCCTTTCAGTTCCCAGTCATGAGATGAATGGTTTTGTTCTGGTAAATACTCCCACCATGAAGTTAGGTCATCCCACCCAGAGGTCTAAGAAAAATGGGTGCACCTCAATATGAATTAGAACCTCCGAAACTGAGCCAAAATAAACATTCTCTCCTCATACGCTGACTATTTCAGGTATTTGTTCCACAGTGGGAAAGTTAACACCAGGAGACCACTATCTAAATGAGAAATAGTCAGATTACTACATTTACAATACATTCAGCACTTTAATCTGTACCTGATCTAATAAAAGAACACGTCAGAGGTTACACTAGTCCTCTCCAAGTTAGGGCATTACTTGGGAATGTATCTCTATACTGCAAAAAACAGTGATGTGTCAGGAAACCAGAGATGCTCCTGGCCCTGGGCCTACCTTGAGGGAGCGGTTGTGCCGCTGCAGCTCACGGCACAGGCTTTCAAGCTTGCTGCGGGCCAGTATAGCCTTGCTGTGCTCTCCTCGCAGGTGGTCCTTCTCCTGTACCAGCTGGCTCTGTTTCTTCTGCAGGAGCTTCATCTGTTTTTGTGAAGTCCGGTGCTCCTCCAGCTGGGGACAGGGAGGGCAGAGAGTGCTTGGGAGGCCCCTCATGGGGATCCTATGTGGCTCTAGGGACTGTGGAGCTGAGCTGTCCTCCTCCCCAACTCCAGCTGAAGCAGCTCAAGGCCTGAAATACTCTCACAAGCAGACAGTGCTAATATGTTAGGTACCCCTCCCTCCCTCATGTTAACCCAAGGTCTCATAGAGATACGGGTAGGGACACTCACTGGGACCAGCAGGGTTACAGAGCCAGCAGATTCTACTTTCTGTCCCAGTTCTGATCTGAGACAGGACTTTCTAGACATATCTGACCACTACATGGCCCCATTTTGCTGGTCAATCAGGTCAGGATAAGCTACCTGTACCTGGCTCGGGCCTATTCAGATCTGGCCCCTGTGGCTATTTTAATACTGATGGACAATCCTGACTCTCTTCTCTCAGTACTTAACACCTTCCATAAACCCGTATCTTTGTCCAGCTTGGCTTCCCTCCTATGATCTTATCTATCCTGGACGGTAAAAATAAAATGTTGCCCACATATGTAATTTATTTATTTATTTATTATTATTTTTTGGTACCAGAGATCTAACCTGGGACTTTGTGCTTATGAGGCAGGCAGTGGAACCACTGAGCTAAATTCCCGGCCCACGCATATGTTATTTAAAATCTTTTAGTGGCTACACTAAAAAAGACGAAATTAATTTTTTGGGGAGTATATTAGGAATTAAATCTAGGGGCTTTTCCACTTTAGTACATCAGCTTCCTGAACTAGTATTACAGGCATGTGCCACCACACCTAGCTCTGATGTGTATCTTATAGCACATACAAATTCAGAAGTCAATTATCAATTAGCTAGAGGCTACTGTCCTGGATGACATAGTTTAGACTTTGTTATTACTAGGTATTGCACCTACTACCTCAGTTTGAAGGATGCCAGGCCAGGACTATCATCACTTCTTTCTAGATAATTCTTACCACTATCTGTAGTCTTCTGATAGTTATCTTACCCCACTGGACTTCTAGTCTATTGATCCAACCAACCTTCATTTGTTTTCTTTTTTATTGAGTTTATTGGTACTTTTAAAGTATACAGTACAGTTACATTCATCATTGGGATCTTGTGCCTTTGCATGATTAAAAAAAAAATTTTTTTGTTTGTTGTTGTACCGGGGATCAAACTCAGGTCCCTGCACTTGGCAAGGCAGGTGGCGGAACCACTGAGCTAAATCTTGCCCGACCAACCTTCATTTAATTAATCGCTTCCCTTTTTTATACCCTTCCACTCACTCCTTTAGCCCCTCTCAACCCTGGTAAAAAATCTTTCTGCTTACTGTACCAGCACTGACACAATCCTGCTTGAAGAATCACTTTAAATTCATGACCAATTTCAAGATCCCTATCTGTCCAGCAATTCTACAATATTTCTCATGCCTCTCACACTCTTCTTCCAGACAACTGTTTTATACACCCCTTCAAAATTTCCCTAAGCTAAGCCGGTGATTTAGTTCAGTGGTTCCACCGCCTGCTCAAAAGCTCAAGGTCCCAAGTTTGATCCCCCTATCAAAAAAGAAAAAAAAAAAAAAAAAAAGAAAAGAAAATTTCCCTAAACTAGCCATAAGCCATCTTTCTCATTTCCTTAAGAACACAAAAGACAATAGAGCAACAGCAACAAGAGCTCCCTATCCACCAGCCACTCCTATCTGTCTTCTCTAGTCATGCATCTGGCAACATGGTACCAAGGTCAAGTCCTTTCCTATGCATTGGGCCTCTGCAATACATAATGATTGCAGCAATAGAAATGTGCATTCCTTTACACAGCAACTCACTTCCTCTTTTTTTTTCAGCAATCCTCTAGCCAGGTCATTCTAAACGGAGAGTACCTTCTTTTTATCTTACTTTTTTATTTCTTAAAATAATCCCATTAAGCAGGTATGACTTCCCCCAATTTACAAGTTCCTTACAGAACTCAGCCATGAAATTTCCTTGGGATGAAATGAATTTTATTTTTTTGAGACAGGGTTTCACTATGTAGTTGAGACTGACCTGGAACTCACTATGTAGCCCAGGCTGGTCTCCAACTCACAGAGATCCTCCTGCCTCAGCCTCCTGAGTGCTGGGATTATGGGTGTGTACCACCATGCCCAGCTTCCACTGAATATTTGTAACACCGAAAGTTGGTTAGACCACATTTGTATTTCTTCTGATGCAACAAGAAGCATAAAGTAATACTTAAAAAGAATTCTTGTCACAAAAGTTGAACCTGAGCCAGGCAGGGTGGTACATATCCATAATCCCAGCACTCTGGAAGTATGAGGCAGGAGGATTTCAAGTTCAAACTCAGCTTGAACACTTTAGCAAGACTGTCTCAAAATAAAAACCAAAAAAAGAGCTGGGCATGGGGACGCATGCCTGTAATCCCAGCACTCAGGAGGCTGAGGCAGGAGGATTGCTGTGAGTTCGAGGTCAGTCTGGGCTAGTAGTAAGTTCCAGGTCAGTCTCAACTACATAGTGAGACCCTGTCTCAAACAAAACAAAACACCCAAAAGAAGGGCTGGTTATGTAGCCCTTGGGGTCAATACCCAGAACTGTACCGAAAACAAAACAAAACAAACATAAAAAACTGAATGTGAATTAGATCAAGCTCCTACAGCTAAATTCCATTTTACTTACAGGAACAAATAGAGATAAAGGGACAATCAATAAAGGTACAGGTAAGGTATCATACAGGGCAACTAATCTGGTTCTGCAGTAAGTCAATCTTATGGAGGAAAAAACGAAGACAATGAAATGAAGATCTGCTCTAGAGTAAAAGGAAAATGAGTATCAATTGACCACTGTTAATTTTAAATGTGTTAACAGCACAGTGCATCTCTGTATTTCAGGAAGATACATACAGAAGCAAGTAAGAGCAAGATCAGATGGTATATGGGACTCAGGCCAGGAGCTAGAGCTCTATCACCTGGGAATTATTCTTTGGGAAATTTCAAGGAAAGTCAGGTTTTCTATCTCTTTTTTTTTTATACAATTTTTTTTTTTTTTGGTACCAGGGACCGAACTCAGGTCCTTGCACTTGTGAGGCAGGCAGTGAAACCACTGAGCTAAATCCCTGGCCCAGGTTTTTATCTTTTTTGTTTTTTGGAGGTAGGGTCTCCCTTTGTAGTTCAGGCTGGCCCTGAACTAACTACGTAGCCCAGGCTGGCCTCTAACTTTGTGGCAATCCTCCTGCCTCAGCCTCCCAAGTGCTGGGATTACAGGTGAAGTTTCCCCTCTTAATGTCAGCCTTGAAGTGAATGATTGAGAAATGACTCCCCAATTAACAGACAGAGCGAAGGTTCAAAGAGAAACTGAATGGGGAGGGAGGGATACGGACATAGAAAGAATTAAGATGTGTTGGGTACATGTACCAACTACCCACAATGAGTGTAATCGTTATGTATTGCAAATATGAACTAAAAAACAAAAGACAAAACAAAAAATGAAAATGGAAGAATCTAGAGACAGAGAGGAATGAGGGAAGGGAATTAAAAAGAATTAAAGATATATTAAGGGGCCAGGGATTTAGCTCACTGGTTCTGGTGTCTGCCTCGCAAGCACAAGAACCCGAGTTTGATCCCCGGTACTAAAAACAACAACAACAACAACAAAAACCAAAAGATATATTAAGCACATTATCTACTCCATAAGGTGAATGTAAACATTATATACTAAACATATACAAAAAAATTATAATAAAAATTTTGAAAGGTTGAATAGGAATTAAGCCAGCCACCTGCCTCTGCATCCCCACCCCCATGTCAGGTGGCCTGGTGACTTTCCAAAGGCGGGGAGAGCAGCAGCAGAGGGGGCAAACTGACCAGTTCAGCATACTTCTTGCACAGTGCTGCCAATTTCTCCTCTGGGGTACTCAGCGTGTTCAGTGTCTGCATCAGCAACGTGATCTCCTTCCCTGTAAAGCACAGGGAACAAAGGTATACATCCTTTTCTGTGGGGGTGTCTATCTCCATGAACACTGTAGCAGCTCTCTTTTTGAGACAGGGTCTTGCTATGTAGCTCAGGATGTCCTTGAACTATTAAGTTCACGTTGTCCTTGAGCTCCTGGTGATCCTTCTGCCTCAGCATCCAGAATGCTAGGATTACAGGCATATACACCATCCCCAGCTAGGCCTTATCATACTTTCTATTTTCTTTGTTGAACTGACTGCCTTCCCTGTGAGGTTGTGTGTTTGTTTATTTATTCATTTTGGGAACCGGGAATCGAACTGGAAGGTTTTGTGCTTGCAAGACAGGAGGCAGGAAGCAGATGCACTGAGCTAAATCCCTTGCCCAAGGCTGGGTGTTTAATGAAAGTTGGGACCAACTCAAACCAGTTCTGTTCTAATGCCACCACAGAGTACATGCTCATTAAATGATAAGCAAATGAAGGCGGAATTCTTTTGTAATCTTTGGTGGGCACCACTGGTAAGAGGAAAAAACTGACTGTGCTACCAACTTATAGAAGGAACCCCATGTGTGACTCTGGGGCTACTGTTTCATTGTAAGGAAGGTCCTTGAAGGTGGGATCCAAAAAGGAACAGGCCTCTTGGCCTACTTAAATTAACTAAGGGTTAGGGACTTAGCTCAGTGGTACTGCCATTTACATCACAAGTGCAAAGACCAGACTTCAATCCCTACTACCAAAAACAAAACAAACGAAAAACACAAGAAATTAACTAAACTCCTGTTGACAGATATAGCCAAATAGTGAACTTTAAAAATGTGTATTCCTTCAATACATGTGATCCTAGATTTTTAAAAAAAGTACCTCTTTAAATCAGAACCAGTAAAGGGTGGAAAACAACAACCTAGGTGTGCTGTCACCTAATTTAGAATCTTAATGTCATACACAAACCTACTGTTGAACACCTGTTACTGCTTCCTCAAGAGTTGCAGGTCCTTACATCTGGTTACCCCGAGGGGGCCCCATTTTAGGCTCTTAACCATTTTAGTTGCCAACTGTTCAACTAGTAATTTGAGAGTATAACTGAAAAAATGAAACTAATCGGATGACAGTCAACCCTCTGGGTGAAGCAGACAATCTCTCAGTCCTTATGAAGTCCCCAGCACAGCCTGGTTTATATAAATATTTGAGTTTTAACTGTGATTTAGTCCAGTTCTCTTAGTGTAGATGAGTGGGAACTAAGACCCAGATTGGGAAAGGCCATGTCCAACAACACACAGCAGGGTAAAAGTGGTGCTAACTGGGAAAGGGTCTATGTAGACTCCATGTTCTGCATTTTCTCAAAGAGAGGACAGGTTGAATTTCAGCCCCCACTTGCTCAAAAGGTCAGGAGGCCTGGCACAGTACAACTCTATGCTGTGATTGTGCATCCCTTGCTTTGATTAAACCAGGGAGACTGGGTGCTGTCCAGTGGTTTCCTCTGAATCCTGCCAAAACAGCCTAGCCCATGAAATGACAGGCCCAAATTCCCTCCCTTCACCAGCCTTATAAGTAGTTGCCCTCTCTCACCCAAACCCTTGGCTTTCTTCTTCTCCTGCGGCCTTCGGTGGTCCCGATCTCCGACCTCATCACTCGCCCGGATTTCTTCTGTGCCTGGCTCTCCCTTGGAGGTCTCCTTCTCACCATTAACTACTGGGGTCCCTGGCTCAGGCTCCCCATTCCTTGCCGCATAGGTCCGGGGCTTCTCTGCATCTTCCGGTTCAGTGGACTCACCCTGTGCTCCATTCTCACCTGGGCTACCCTGATTGTTGTCCACACAGTATGTATTCAGTATGTCTTCCAATTGGCGGCTCAGCTCCTCTGAGACATCACGGAGGGCCCCAGACTGAGATGTTTTGGCTTGAGCCCCTACAGCAAGAAACAATGAGAAATAAAAAAAAAGTAGAGTGAGAAATAAGATGGTTACAGCACTGGTTGGGATTTTTGCAGGCCAGTCTCCCTAGTCTGGTTAAATGTTGCCTAACTGATTTAAGCCTCAATTTATTTTCTTATAAAATGATACAACTATTTCTTACTAAAATTCAAACATGTTAGGGGTATAAATAAGTCAAGTATGTAAACCCTATTAGTTTTAGTGACATAGGACTGGCATGTAGCAGCTCAATTTCTAGTCTGTATCCTTCCTCTCAAAAGCCATTTCTTGCTATTCAAATAGATCCAGCAACGCCTCAAATATATGAAGGGCAAATACCTACTGTAAGCGGAGTGTTTCTGACTGATGGGACAGAGCTTTGCTGATGGGGAGTCTCCTTTGCCTGTCACCTGATTTAAACCTGTCAGAACCTGCTCCCAATCTGTTCTGGGGCTGAGTGGGAGGCCCTGCCACCTCCCCAGGCTGGGCACTGTCTCTACTCATTCTTCATTTCCTCCTTCTTGGGTAAACAGTGGCCTCAGTCTCTAACTCCAGAAGTGAAGCCCGTACCATAAACTCCTCCCCCTGCCCGCTGGAAAAGGAGAGCTGGCACACACCCTCCGTCCTCCCAGGAGCCTGGCTGGCGGAACCTTCAGCTTCTGTCGCAGGAGACTGGCTGGGCCTTCTCCCGTGGACTCCTTCTGGTCCCGTTTCCGGCTGCCCGGGGCTATTTTTGGGGTTGGACTGTTTGGCAGCCCCATTCTTTTTGTCTTGGTTCTTCATTGTGATGTGCAGTGCTAGGTTTGGAGCAGATCCTTAAGAACGTGTGCAGTTGCTATTTTCGACTTCAAAATTCTTCACAACCTGAATCCGAAATCCCAACACCAGGAACACAAAGCTTCTTGAAACAAACTGGCCGTCCTTCACCGGAAGCCAGCGGTACTCAATCTCTGGGTATCAGGGAACCCTGGCGTGCCTTGGCAGGCTTTGGGGCACACCGCTCCTGGAAAGGGTAGAAAAAGGCCTCTTTTCTCCCAAAGCCACTTCCCGGCTCTATATGGCCCCCTCACTGCAGGCAAAACGCGGGATTGGCTCCCAGCGTCGGACTAACGTGGAGGCACTCCAGAGCCCCGACGCCCCCCG